TGATCTTAGTAAGTTTTTAAGATCTTCGTGCTGCAGATTTGCTTCCTGAAAACAAGGTGCATACCCACTCCCGATTCATTGTATGGATTTTTGTTTACGGTAATTCTCAAAGCTTTTTCTGCAAGCCCAGAATGAGCGAGCTGCACATAACATTTATTTTTCTCACAAGACAGACCAAAGCCCTTGAAACATTGCCATTTCATCAATAATCAACTTAGATGGCCTCCAAGAACATGACAGTTTACCAAGTCTGATAACAAGTAATGTAGATGAGAAGAGGGAAAGATAGAAAGACAATATAAACACATGAAAGAAGGTGTGGAAGTTTGGAATAACCTTCACCATTGTCATCATTATCATCATCATCGCTTCTTAATAGATAAATAGGATTTAGCTGGTACACCATCATACTTGAGCCCTTCAACCACCTTTTACTTTATTTATTTAGTTTTTGAAGTTTTTTTTTTTTTGATGGAGGTACTGAGGATTGAACCCAGGACCCTGTGCGTGCTAAGCATGTGCTCTACCACTGAGCTATAGCCCCACCCCTAACCCTTTACTTTAGATGGGAAATAGGGAAGTAGGACACAGTATTTCATAAATAAGAATAGTAGACACTAGTGGAACATATTTCTATGGCATTTTATAGTTTGCTCAAACATCACCATTGTCATTAACACTGTGCTCTGGCTGCATTCCATGCCCCTTAGGACCAGTTTAGAATCATGAACATAATTGTTAGAGAATTTTCCAGGAGGCCAATCTAAATATTTAAATAAGGGGATTAAAAAATTTCTACTGTGTTCATACTTGGTTCCTCTTTTGAATTCCTAACACTACAAATTTGTGCCTTTTTTCTTTTATTCATTTTTTCAGAAGTTTGTCTTTTTTTGTTGTGTATTTTTTTTAAGTCAACTTTTAATTTTAATGACCAACTCTACAGATATTTTCTTTCTCATAAATAACAAGTTTATCATATTTCCTTTGGTCTATTTTCTTATAGGTTAATTCTTTAAATTTTTGGAGTTTGAGGTATTTAATGCATTAGTTTTTAGTTATTTTTCTTTTTTTATAGGAGTATTTAAGGCCATGGGTTTCCTGTA